TCCCAGAGGCAAGCACACTGGAAAGTATAAGATCAGCAGCCTTAGCTGAACCCTGCCCTCAAGTACTTCTGCATTTCTGCACGTGGAACTTGGCCTGAAAGGACCACTGAAACAAACAGTATCCATGCCCTAGTTGTCCTAGCTGCTGTGTGAGTGTACTTACATTCCGACTGGGAAAATGGCAGACACCCCTCAACCCACTCTATTCTCTCTGTCTGCTGATCTCCCTGTTAATATACAACAGGCAAGGGACACAGAGACAGAAACCACACACTTTTGCTCATACAACTCAGTATGTTTTGAGGATGTGTCCCTAGATTTTACCAAAGAGGAGTGTGTTTTATTGAGTTTAGAATAGAAAAAGATATATAGGAATGTGATGCTCAAAAACTATGAGAACTTGTGTCACATGGTATTTTACTTCAGCAAACCTGTCATGCTTAGTGAGAGTGAAGAACAGGACAGAATGGAAAGAGAAATTCTTTCAGGTTTCTATTCAGGAAGGACGAATCTCCTTACATCCCAACAAGCACAACTTACTCAAAATAGTTTGCAACCTGAAACACTGAACAGCAATCAGGAGTCAACACATGGACTCAATCCTCCCAAAGCCCTGTGCACAGATGATACCATAGCTCAGAGTAGGAAAATGGGTAATGGAAGGCAAAGCCATTCATGGGATGACTCTGAGACTGATTCTGGAGAGTCCTCCCATGGTTCACCATATAATAGCATTCATGATGAGGAAGAATCCAAAGAGAACAATGGAGATACAAATCCCTCTGGCGTAAGCTCTTTGGTAGATGAGCAGAAATAGGAACCAGATAGGAGAACAATGTTATGAATGCAGGGACTGTGGGAAACTCAAGTTCATTGAAACAACTTACAGAACATAAGAAATCTCATACTAGCAAGAATTGCTTAAATGTAGTCAATTTGGGAGGACATTTCTGTGTCTCAGAGTTTTGCAGTTGCATCTCAGAATCCCCACTGTTAACAAACAACATAGATATAATAGTTGTGAAAAAAGTTTCAGCTCAAGCTCTAACCTTAAAAGACATGTAATGATTCATTCCGGGAGAAACCTTATGAATGCCCAGAATGTAAGAAAATCTTTAGAGATACCTGTCTTCTGAGACAAACACACACACACACACACACACACACACACACACACACACACACACACACACAAATGAATGTAATGAATGTGGCAAAGCTTTTCATAGGCGTGCCTAAGGTGATACATACTAGAGGAAAATAGACTGCCCTGCGATGTGTGTCCTAAAGCATTCAAAACTGTTGCATTCCTTAACAAACATAAGATATTCCACATCATACTGAAAAAACTTTATTTAGCCACTGGTGAAACATTGTTAGCACTCCATCAAATCTTAAGGAACACCTGAAAATACACAAGGAGGGGAACACCTTTGATGTGTGTCCATTGTGGCAAAGCTTATTGAGCAAATTATGATCTTTTTGTACACACAAAACATCATGCTGCATAGAGACCCCATAAGAGATCCCATAAGTGCCCTTGCTGCTAGAAATTCTTCAGGGAACACTGCCATGTTAGAAGACTCCTAAAATTCATCCTGGAAAAAAACCCCTTTATATGGAGCAGTGTGGGGAAGGCATCTAGTATAAGTCTTCCCTGACTTGTCAAGGAAAAAAAAATCCATCAGACTGAAAAAGTGTCAAAGTATGTGTAAGTGTTCAGGGATCTTGTACCTCTCTGGGAAACAGAGCCTTTAGCAATAATGCACACTTTCTTTGAAAAATCACCCTGTCATCTGTTGGTGAAAGTGGTACTGCTTACCAGAGAACATATCTTAAGGAAAATTCTCTAGGTGCAATATCTGTAGGAAATTTCAGTAAGCCCTTTTATTTTGTTAGGAATCCCATGCTGGGAATAAAAACCCTTTGTGATGACAAAATATGAGTGGTTAATTTTAATGACATGTATGAATGCTGATGAAAAACATGATTTATAGGTGAATGAGAGTTCATTGTTCTGAGAAGAGAAATTTCTGGGAATTTCATTGTAGACTCTACCTTTCAAAACATACCTAGAAGAGTCCTTAACTCTAATTTTCTCCATGAGAAGCAGGACATGTTTTTATCTTTTTCTATTTCTTCTCTATTACTTTATCCTTACATTGAAAATCCTTAATTTTAAGGAAACAATACATGACAGTTCAATGAAAAATCCAATTCTTTATCACTAAAACTTTCTACCAGAGAAATTTAAGTCCCCAAATTTTTCAGTGGTTTTGAACATGTGTGCTATAGTCTGTGTGTGGGGGTACATTTTTATTTCTTTTTAAAATTTTATTGTAAAACTGATGCGCAGAGAGGCTAGTTGACAAGTGAGTACATTTCTTTTTGAATAGTGTCACCCCTCACTCATTTTCTCAGTTTTTCCCTCCATACCCCCTACCCCCAAGTTGTATAGTTAATTGCAACATAGTGTCTATTGTTCTTATGTTATTGTAGTCAAAAGCTAGTGTACATGAGTTCAGGCTTTAAAATTTGTCATGTAGTAGATGTATGCTCTTGGCTCTCACTTGTAACTCTAGCTACTGAATAGTCTGAGATCTGGAGGATTGTGGTTTGAGGCAAGCCTGGAAAGGAAAATTCACTAGACTTCATCTCTAAAATAAATATCAAAAAGCCAAGCTGTATGAATGGCTCAAATGGTGGTGTTCCATGCATGAGCAAGGGTGAGATTCTATGTTCAAACTGCCACAAATAATTTATACTGTTGATAAATTGGGTGAATTTGGATTTTATGTCTAGATTAAAACTTTTAAAATAAAGCATAATATGTTCCAGTCATCCCACTCCTGAGTGTATATTTGAAGAGGGATTTGAAGAGGGAATATGTAGGTTGTCTGGAAACGGGTAGAAAGGACAGTGAAGGGAAGCCTAAAAACCATTGTGCTTCAGGGACCTGATCTGAAAGAAAACTAGGACATGAGAGGGCTGGCGGAATAGTTCAGCAGTAGAGTGTCTGCCTAGAAGCATAAGGTAATGAGCTCAAAACCACATTACTGCCAACCAAAGGAGATAGCAATATATACTGAGGAAACAGAAAGGAAATCTAAATTAAAAGGGTAAATATAGGATTTTACTTTTAAATTTTGTGTATCTTTCACAGAAAGAAAAAAGTCATTTTTATCATCATATTCAAGACTCCAAAGAAAAGCACCCCTCCCTGAAAGTTCATTGAAGCCACAGTGAACACTTTTGAGTCTAATTCTTTACAATTTATTGGTAATACCTAAGCTTGAATTGGGCAGATGTAAATAAAGGATAATAATATCTGAGGTGATTGAGGGGCCCAAATGGCTCACATTCCTCCCCACAAGCCCACAACAATCAGCTGACTGCTTTTTATTTTACTTCTGTCCTAGCATAACACATTTTGGCTTGGTGCAGCTTATATATGAAAACACATTAGATGAGAATTTAAGCCAGAAAAAAAATCTGTTTTGAGTGACCACCACCAGATGTTCCTCAGTTTCCCGAGAATCTTAGGGGGAAATTTGCTACTTCAATAGAAAATAAGGAAAAAGAGGCTTCATATTTAGGATTTTTTTTCATTCCAAAACCAATCAAGGAAAATATATGAATAGAGGAATTACACAAGTTTAAAGTCTGGTTTAGTATAATGAAGCACTGTGTTGTGAATAATTTCATTAACAAATTATTAAATATAGATATTACTGGATCCAAATCTCAGGAATATAGATTTCTGAATCCTGATTCTAGAGCTTCGAGACTAACAATAGATGATGGATTTCTCAACCTTTAATGTGCACGAGTTATATGAATATGTTTTAGTGAATGTGTAGTGAACAGATCTGGAGTAGGTCCAACCAGTTTCTAGGTGATGCTGATGGTGCTGGTCCCACTGTGCAGGGAATGGGCTTTTCATCCTCTGTTCAAAAAAACAATGCACAGAAATGAGAGCCAGTTGTTCATGCCTGCAATCCTAGCTACTCAGGAGACCGAGATCGGAGGATGGTGGTTGCAAGCCAGCCTGGGCAGTCTATGACAATCTTATCACTGATTAACCAACCACAGAATAGAATTGGAGTTAAGGATCAAATGGTAGAGTGTTGGCTTTGAGTGAACCAGCTAAGGGACAGCAATCAGGCTCTGGGTTTATCTGCCTAGCTCAACTTTTGGGGAAAAGGTTTCTTTTGATCCACTGTTTCTGAGGTCTCGGTCCACTCTTGATCAGCTAACTACTTTGGCACTTGTGGCATGAAATTTTTACTGGTTAGCTGGAGATTTGTATCGCATGGACTTTTCTACACAGACTGAGGCAGTGTAAAGTGAAGCCAAATATCTCACTTCATGGTGGCTCAGAAGTGGATTAAGACAGGATGAGCACATTCCCAATGAGCTAATCTCCTCCACACTTCCCAACAGTTCACAGACTGGTGACAATACTTTTAACACATGGAACTTTGCAGACCATCCCAGATCCAAACTATAGCACAGTGCTCTACTTCACATGAGCTTTAGCTTTTTTTGTTATATTTTGAATGAAAAACTGTTTCTAGAAAGGGTTTGTAATAAGGCTTGCTTCTGGATCTTGAAGACTTAACAGAATTCGGATGAGCCTCTCAAACTTTAATATATGAGCCAGGCACAGGTGATTTCTGCCTCTGAATCCTAGCTACTCAGGAGGCTGAGATCTGAGTACCCTGATTCTAAACTATTCCAAGCAGGAAAGTACATGAGACTCTTATGTCCAATAGACCAGCACAAGGGCAGAAGTGGGGTTGTGGTTTAAGTGGTAGAGCACTAGCCTTGAGCAAAAAAGCTCAAAGACAGTGCCCAGGCCCTGAGTTCAAGGCCAAGAATAACAAAAAACAAACATCTGACAATTCCCTTTAATGTGTTTGTGTGTCCCATTTTCTTTCTGTAAGAGAACCTTAAAATATCTCATCTGAGAAAAACAAATTGTAGACACCAAGAATTATCCAATAAGAAGTCATTTTATTGGAGTGCTGTGAGTTCTGTTTTTCCCAGTGCTCCAAATGTTCTCAATGTACATGTAGAACCTTTATAAGTGGAAATAAAAAACAATCCATGTTACTTACAAAATAAAACCTTCTGTACTTACAATATGTTTGTTTTATGGGCTAGGAGAGGGAGAAGGGGGACACAAATTTTCTCAGCATAATTCTTGTTTTAAATATAGATGAAAAAGATGCCTTATCTTAGCAAGTATTCCCTCAAAGAGAAATGTGACTTTTGTTTTTCTGCAAAGGAAACCTCATATTGGAAGTCTCTTAGATCTAAATCTTTTTGTCTGGCATTACTAGGAAGCATGTGGAGTCTTAGGCAAATTCTCAATCAATCTAACTACATCCTAAGCCCTAAAGGGTTTTCTCTCAAGTACATGTTAATTGAACTATGTATGGGGTTTCTTCAGAGATGTATTGTGTGTGTGTGTGTGTGTGTGTGTGTGTGTGTGTGTGTGTGTGTGTGTGTGTGTGCTGCTTGAACTAAGGGTTTGGGTGCTGGCCTTTAGCATCTTTGCTACCACTTGAGCTCTGAGTTCACTTATGGCTTTGTTCTGGTTAACAAAAGATAAGAATCTCATAGACTTTTCTGCGCAGGCTGGCTTCAAACCTCAGTCCTCAACCTCAGCCTCCTGAGCAGCTTGGATTACAGGTGTGAGCCATCAGTGCTTGGAAATAGGTGTTTTGTTTTGTTTTGTTTACTTAATTTGTACATCTTCGATATCTTTCTCTCCTTCCTTCTCTCTCCCCCTCTATCTCTGTGTGTGATTCTATCTCAGTCACTCTCTGTCTCTCTGTCTCTCTATCTCTTTCTCTGTCTCTGTGTGTGTGATTCTATCTCAGTCACTCTCTGTCTCTCTATCTTTCTCTTTCTCTGTCTCTGTTTCTCTCTCATACACACACCCATTTAGCTCATTTCTCATTAGTAGAAGACATAGACTAGAGCATTTGTTCAACTTTTAACATTAAAAAACATTCAATAATCAAGCCTTGGAATATTTGCCAACCTGGTGGCTCATGCCTGTAATCATAGCTACTGAGGAGATTGAGATCTGAGGATGGTGATTCAAAGCCAGCATGAGCAGGAAAGTCTATGTGATTTCTATATCCAATAAACTACTCCTGGGGGAACAATCCTGGAAATGGTTCTGTGCATTAAGCAGTAGAGTTCTAGCCTTGAGAAAAAGAAGCTCAGGGATAGTACTTAGGCCCTGAGTTCAAGCCCCAGGGCTAGCACAAAAAAATTGTCAAATTTTGGCACATGTTAGAGTCAATGTATGTCATAGAAGTGCTGTTCAAAAATTAGAATTAAGTGCTGTTCAAAAATTAGAATTAAGCCATTTTCATTTTTATATTTATTACAAATTACATTTTATAAACACTATATAATTTACATATGAAAGCTACATACATACATGGACTTATAATAAAAAACAGTACCACTATTATAAAAGAACAAAATAGGATTTTAAACATCTATATCATCATAAAATCATTAAGTATTCATTGCTAATCATTTTTTATAATTCAAAAGCTATTCAGAAATGTCATACATTCTGATTTTTGCTACTGACATATAGAATTACAGAAAAATCATCATAGCATGACTTAATTATAAAAATCTATCAAACATTTAGAAGCCAAATGACTAACTTTAAAGACAACTCACACTCGGGTTTAACTCATTCTAACTAAAGTATACAACATTTTATGTTTTTCTTAACAGACACTAAATTTAGTGAATAAATTGGAACTCAATGTTTCTGTTATATGTTCTATTCCTGAGGGTTTTTGCTAAAATACCATAGAAAAAAATTAATAACTCAATTTATAGCTTTGCATAACATTGTATTTTAATTTGCAAAACAATTACTCTGATTATTTTAGCTGGGATCAGTAGTGTTCGATGATATAATTAACTAAGGGAAATGTTTCCTCTGGCCACTATTTGCAAAGATTGTGTGTACAATATAATTAAAATTACACAAAATCTGTCAGCAATGTTTATTTGCACCTTATGAAATCATATTAACTTTATAGAACAGAATGCTTTTTCTAAAAGTAATGGTGCAATGCTAACAGTGAGCCCAAAGCCAGGCTCAGAGAAGCTGCCAAAAGTCAAAAGTCTTACCAAGGATGATTTCTGTCCATGAATCAACAATTCAATGTAACAGTTACAGGTTCAATTTTAAATAACCCCAGACAGAATAATTTGAGTATGAAAATACAATTTAACTAGCCATCATAAAAAGAAGTTTTACAAGTGTCCCCTTTCAGAATAATTTTATCAAAATAGAATTGTGGACTCCTTTAAAAAATCAGTCTCTAAAAGCTGTTTTCCCCATTAGCTGTCAGAATGCCATGCACAGTACCTGCTCATATGATCAACCTAGTGACACCTTCCAAATAGTTTACTTGGGATCAGACCACCCCCGTTAGTTTCCCCTGCAGACTGAATATGAGCATGCCAGGGAGAAGCTCCAAGAATGGGCAGTTTTAAACAAGTAGTACTCTCTCCCCTGATTGGCAAAATGTTGTCATTATATAGATTTGAGAAAAATCCTTGAAGAAATCAAAATATTATACTTGAACTGTATTTGATATGAATGACAAGTCTAATCAGGTCTATCAAGATTTTTTAATAACCTGCATAGCTCATCATCATGATTAAATAACTTTGGTATTTTTTATCTAAAAGTCACAAAGTTTTTTCTAACTCTGTTTTTTGTGTGTATTTGTGTGTGTGTGAGAGAGAGAGAGTGGGGGTTTCTGGAGCTTGAGCTCAGGGCCAGGGTGCTGTCCCTTGGCTATTTTGCTCAAGTCTGGCACTCTACCACTGGAGCCACAGCTCTACTTGTGGACTTTTCATGGTTAATTAGAGGTGAGAGTCTTAGGGACTTTTCCACCTGAGCTGTCTTGGATCTGATCCCACAATCACAGCCTTCTCAGTACTTAGGATTATAGGTTTTAGCCCTCAGTGTCTGGCTCTAATTTTCTTGATAGCCACAAAAGCTGATCAAACAATAATGACCTATGGAAAAACTGTTGGTGACTGGGCTTCTGATGTTTTCATATTGCATGCACCTTTCCTTTTCAGGAAGCAGAAGAGCCATTTGGTTGTATTTAAAAAAAAAAAAGAACCAAAACTAAATAGTGCCAGGCTCTGGTTGCTCACTTCTATAATCCTAGCTAATTTAGAAACTAAAATTGGGAGGATCACAGGCAAGCTGGGGCAGAAAAATATACAAGATCCCTTCTCAAGGAAGTGCTACACCTGGTGTTGTACACCTGTTATCCTAGCTTCATTGGGAAGACTAGCATGGGTACTCATACCCAAGTGCACATCCAGGCAGGGCATGACACCTATCCCCAATAGGGAGTCTATATCTCAAAAATAGCCAGCAGAACATTGAGCTGGAGCCTAGTGCAACAGCAAGAGCATCAACCTGGCAAGTATGAGTCCCAGTGTTCAAACTCCAGTACCAACCAAAAGAAACCTAAATAGTGTGGAATTTATTCAAATAGAAATAAGCCTTCTGAAGTGGTTTTTACATAGCTACATTGACAGAGGTATGTGCAAAACTCCTTGTGAAATCCTTATTTCTTTTGAGATGTGGTCTCACTATGTTGCCCAGGCTGGCCTTGGACTTCTGGGTTCAAGTTGACACTTGCCTGTGTCTCAAAAGTAGCTAGCATGACAGGTAGATACCATCACACCCTGATTTCAAATGCCAAAAATTTCAAATAATGGGGTGAGTTGTAGCTCAAGTTGTAGAATGTCTGCCTGGCAAGCATGAGGTCCTGAGTTGAATCCCCAGTATGGCCCCTCAAAATTAGATGTGCAAAGTATTATGTCAACTCCATGTCTAAAATCTCATTAAGCATATAATAATGTAAGCAGGAAGCAATGATTATGTATTCTGAAAAATGTGCATAGATTTTCATTCTAATTCATTAACTAGTAATAAATCCAAGTGAAAAAATAATCAGTGAGATGGATTCTCAAACAAATATGGAGCACTGAGGAAAACTGGAGATTAAATTGTTAGATTTGAAAGAACATTTAATTGGGTTTAAAATCTTGAAGTGGCAGTCACTTCTATTTTCTAAGAAGAGTGTCCAATGAAGAGAAAAAAAAAACCTGTAAGCTAATTGGAAGTGGATTCAGTAGTTTGTAAGCTGATTAAAACTACTGAATTTAAATGAATTATTTTTCAATCAAGTTATTAAAATACCCTTTAATGACTTTAGCATTAGTAAAAAAATCAATGATGCACAAAACCATATTATTAAATTCTGCATACAAAAGCTGAAAATTGCTGAATACCAAGTTCTTGGTCCCAGTGCTTCACACTCCCATCTGAATGTCTGCAAAGTTGTAGAAGTTGTCTACATCTCCACATGCTGTGTCCTTCTTTTCTGACACAAACATCTATTTTAAATAGAAAACAAACAAATATTAAATATTGTGGCTTCATAATTTCAAAGCCCATGTGTCTAGGCCAGAACAAAGTCACAAGCTTATTTCTAAAAGAAATTCAAATATATTATTTACACTATTTAAACTGTAGTATGTATTATTTGTTTGTTTGTTTTCCATACTCCCCCTGACCCCTTCAACTTTCAGGCCTTATCTTGTTTTCATATGTACTTGCAATGTTCTCCAAAAATTTAAACCCTCTATCACTATTTCCTTTCCCCTTTTCCCATCTCCTAAGTTGTCCCTTAGATTTTGGCTGTGCTTATCCATACATAGCATTATGTATATGGATGTATGTATCATGTGCACATGTCCTTGAATATGAATTTGTAGGTTTTCTATACAATCAACATTTATAATGCAAATCAAGCTCTTTTTATTAGGGTTTTATTTATGTTGTGATAGAATAGGTGCCTAGAAAAAAAACACTAACACTGCTAAAAACAAAAAATAACTTTTACAAATGTGAGCCAAGAATTAGGGGAGCCCTGAGTGTTAGTCCAACTTTACCATATACTAATTTCATGATGTTGACAATTTTTTTTATCGGTCGTGGGGCTTGAACCCTGGGTTTGGGCGCTGTCCCAGCGCTCTTCAGCTCAAGGCTAGTGCTTTACCGCTTGAGTCACAGCACCACTTCCGGTTTTCTAGTGGTTTATTGTAGATAAGAGTCTCACGGACTTTCCTGCCTGGGCTGGCTTTGACCCCTGATCCTCAGATCTCAGCCTCCTGAGTAGCTAGGATTACAGGCATGAGTCACCAGCGCCCAGCTGATGTTGTTTAATAAATCTCTTGGGGCTCAAGTTCCACACTTACAAGTTGGATTAGGTAACTTTTAATTAACCATAAGAAGTTTGAAGCATACAATCTTTTTTATTTCCCAATTTTCTTTTCTACTGAATCTTGTATTTGACATCTCAGGACAATTGTGATGATAAAATAAGACAGAATACCATGTACTTTAAAAATCTGCAAGTTTAACAGGCTACATGAGGGAGTGATTAGTAGGATTTTTGATTCAAGGCCAGTGGTAGGAGGATTTTGGTTCAAAAATTTAACCAGATTCAATTTCAATAAACAGGCTAGGTATGGTAATTCACACCTGTAATCCTAGCTACATAGAAGGGAGTAGGAGGATTATAATCCAAGGCATACCCTGGGCAAAAATCAGACCCTGGTTGAAAAATAACTAACAGTAAGAAAGAGCTAGATAAATAGTTCAAGTGGTAGCCTTGTAAGTATGAGTCTCTGATCACAAACCCCAATACAACCCTAACTTTTTTTTTTGCAAATTTAGTCCAACGCAGATCAGATAAAAATCAAAAACATTTCTTCTCTTGTATTCATCAAAAATGGTCAATAATATGTTCACTTAGTCCTTTATATAGGTATGGTATTTAAGATATATAAAAGTATTTAAGTCTAAAATTCTTAGATGTAGCAACCTCAGTAACATATTTGGGAAGTAACCAAATGTAATAATTTCTAGGTCGACCTAAAGTTCAATTTTAGGCAATAAATTAAAGGAGCAAGTAAAACTGAATCTTGGACAACAGGATTCTCTTTCTGAAAATATAACATTAGAAATAATTTTTCAACATATCACTGTTTAAAATAAGCAAGGCTTTGAAGAGACAGACACCTGAAAGCTCTTTGCTTGAGAACCTGTACTGTAGGAGGCTGTTGGGATTTTTGTACCAGTACTAGAGCTTGAATTGAGAGTTTTGTACTCTCAGTTTTTTGTGTTTTTGTTTTGTTTTGTTTTGTTTTTTGTCGATCGTGGGGCATGAACTCTGGGCTTGGGTGCTGTCCCTGAGCTTTTCAGCTCAAGGCGAGCACTCTACTGCTTGAGCCACAGCACCACTTCCAGTTTTCTGGTGGTTAATTTGAGATAAGGGTCTCAGGGACTTTCTTGCCTGGGCTGGCTTTGAACCACGATCCTCAGAGCTCAGCCTCCTGAGTAGCTAGGATCATAGGCGTGAGTCACCAGTGCCTGGCTTTGTACTCTCAGTTTTGTTAGCTCAAGCCTAGTGTCTATCATTTGAGCCATACCTCCAGTTCAACATTCTGCTAGTTAATTGAAGATGAGAATCTCATGGAATTTTCTGCCTGGTCTGGCTTTGAGCTTTGATTCTCAAATCTCAGCCTCCTGAGTAGATAGGATTAAAGACATGTAGCATTGGCAACCAGTTCTATATAAAGTGTGTGTGTGTGTGTGTATACATATATATATATATATATATATATGTATACACACACACACACACACAAACTACATATTTTTAATAAACAGATTCTTCTTTCCTAATTAGTGTGTGTGTGTGTGTGTGTGTGAGTGTGTGTGTGTGTGTGTGTGTGTGAGTGTGTGTTTCAGTTCCTGAGGCTTGGAGATAAGAGCCTCATAGACTTGCCTGCTTCCTAATTATTATTTTTTTTTGGTCGGTCGTGGAGCTTGAACTTTGGGCGTGGGTGCTGTCCCTGAGCTCTTCAGCTCAAGGCTAGTGTTCAACCCTTAAGTCACAGCACCCACTTCCGGCTTTTTCTATGTATGTGGTGCTAAGGAATTGAACCCAGGGCCTCATGCATTCGAGGCAAGCACTCTACCACTGAGTCACCTTCCCAGCCCCTCCTATTTTAAAATTAGTTTTTTATTGTAAAAATACTGTACAGAGGGGTTAAAGTTACATGAACAAGGTAATGAGTACATCTCCTATCAGGCATTGTTGCCTCCCCCTTTGTTTTTCCCCTACCGTCCCTTCCCTCCCATCTCCACAACTATGCTTACCACCCCCCACCCTCACACACCCCCATCCCCGCCTAAATTGTAAAGTTCATTTTTCAACATAGTGTCTTGTACATCTCATTGTCACCTGTATCCCTATTTAAATGATTTTTTCCCCTTCCCCTCCCCAAATTTGATATACATGAAATACAGTGAAAACATGGGTTATACCATAGGGGAGGACTCCTAATTATTTTTAAACAATTAAACATTTTCCATTTGGCAAGGAAAAACCACAGCTTAGTTCCCAAATGTTTATTTGGGCGGGGGGTCCAGTCGTGAGACCTGAATTCTGGGCCTGGGCACTGTCCCTCAGCTCTTTAGCTCAAGGCTAGCTAGTGCTCTACCACTTAAGCCACAGTGCCACTTCCGGCTTTTTTCTTTTTGCTTATGTGGTGCTGAGGAATCGAACCCAGGGCCTCAGGCATGCAAGGCAAGTGCTCTACCACTGAGCCACCTTCCCAGCCCCAAGTTCCCAAATGTTTTAATATCATGATGTGCTGGGTTAAGTAAAGGATACAGCAGAGATAAAAATGCAAGTTGATAGTGAGGAAAAAAAGAGTAAGTGAAAGGTGAGATCAAGGTACAATGATATAATCTTATACCTTTGTCCCATTGAATGTTTCATTTACAATATGGTGGCATTCTTCCACAGCACCATCTCCATTAAACTCCAAGGCAATCACAGGACCTAGAAACAAAATCAAGAAGTCTTTTCTTAGCATGAACATAAATATCTTCTAATAGTAATCTTTGTATTCTCCCCGAAGAATAGTCAGCAGCTTTATTTTGGAGGCAAGGAATATAGAGAAAAAGGGAGGGGAAGGAAGACAGACTGGATACATCACCTTGGCTCCTTCTTCCTACTATAATCACAAACAAGCAGATTCCTATCCCAGGAGAAGGGACTTTAGGGCTACTGTTTGGATTAATGACATATTTTTACAGTGCTGTAAATAGTCTGGCATCTCTAGTTTTCATTTCTTTGTGAAACTCAAGGAATCTCGTATTCATTTAGCAATAAAAAGAATAGTTGAAAAAATAGCAAAATCTAAAGCAATCCACGTCAGCAGAAGTAGGTCCGGCCATCCAGTCTGGCTTCCAAGTCCCCTACTTACCAGCCAAATTCTGGACCAGAGACAATGGAGCTGAGCTAACCAGGTCAGGCACCTGTCAGGCCTGTCTCAAAGTGTTTGTCTTGTGTGTGTCTTAAAGGTAGTTTCTATTACGCCTTTTTTGTCCTCTAAACAGAAGTATTTTTGACTCCTTTCCCATCAATTAACAAATACACATCAATGTGTGAATACTAATTTTTTATTTTGTATTCAAATATAATTTTGAATATGAATTACAAGTGTGAGAATGAGAACTGCAATTTTAAGCCAGCCTGGACAGAAAAAATTTTAAGACTGTTATCTCCAGTTAATACCACAAAAAGCTAGGCTAGTGATGTGGCCCAAGTGGTAAAGTGCCACCTGTGAGCAAAATGCCAGCTGTGAACAAAAATACTGAGTAGAAGTGCAAGAATGAGTTCAAGCCCTGTTACTGCCAACAAAAGAAAGAAAAAGAGAAAGAGAAGAAAGTCTTGAAAAAATTATCTATGCATATAACTTAGATTATATTCTTTGACTAGAATATGATAAACTTCTGATAAGTGACCTAACAATTCTTCAACCAAAGAATATACAAAATAATTGGAAAAGTATATCAGTTTAGACTACAATGAGGATAATTCTAAATTTTGAAAAATCACAATGTTGAGGATGCATTTATTCTTTTAAACAGGGTCTTTTTATAGCCAGGTTGGCCTCAGACTCTCTATGTAGCCTATGCTGACCACAAACTTTAGATTGTCCTGCCTCCATTACCCCACATGCTAGAATTACAAGTGTGCACCCTCATGTTCACACGTATTTTATTTTATATATTTATCTTTTCATTAACATATTAGTTGTGTAAGGGAGGAGAGTTACGCTGTGACATTTTCACACATGTACAAATGTATTCTAATCTTTCTTCTTCACTCTCCATTATGCACTCCTACTCTCTTCTTAAAGCAATTTCACTGTTCTATTTTCATAAACACAAACTACTTAGACCATATTCATCCTCATTTACCCCCTCGTTGGCCCAACTAGTTCCTGCAGGTACCTCCCCCACCACAGAGCCCGTTAAATATTTTTAGCTAAATCAAAGGCCAATATACTTTGTAAAGGGCAAAATGGAAATATTTTAGGTTTGTGGGTTATACAATGTCTGTCACTAATCAACAACTAATCAACTCTGCTGCTGTAGCCCAAAGAAGCAAAATATAACAGGTAAAAGAATGAGTATGGGCATGCTCCAATGAAACCTAATTTCCCAGCTGGGAAACTATTGAAAATGCAAGCTGTAAGAGCACATCACAGCATTTTCATTTTTGTGCTAGTCCTGGGGGCATAGAAGTACGTTCACTGATGTGTATGTGTGTGTGTATGTTGGTCTCTTAGGACTTGAACTCAGGGGCCTGGGTGATGTCATTGACCTTTTTTCTCCCAAGGCTACTGCCCAACCGCTTGAGCCACAGCTCCACTTCTGACTTTTGGGTGGATAATTGAAGAGAAGATTTTCATGGGCTTTCTTGCTTATGCTGCAGATCTCAGCCTCCTGAGTAACTAGGATTACAAGCATAAGCCACTGGTATCCAGCAATCATAACACTTTTTGAACCATTCTTTTGAGGAGAGGTCTTGGAAATTTATGCTTAAGAAGCACCCTAGATGAACTAGTCAGTCAGGTTTGGAATGGGTTCTCTTACTAAGCAATCCACTGGCTTCATTAAGAAAAAGTAAATAACTCTGACTAGTTTACCTTAGAGGAAACATTTAGAAAGTCAGGTGCAAGCTGTGATAAAAGTGAAATTTTATAAATATGTTAGAAACAATAGCAAGAAAGAAAAAAAAATTTGAATCCTTATCTTGGGGTTCATTTCACCTAACATCAACTTATCTGACCTTTTCTGCTTGTCTCAGACATATACTAGTTATTGCAAATAAGGGAAACCATGGGACTTATGTTTCTTTGGTCCTGGCTTACTTCACTTAATAGAAGGGAAAAAACAAATTGTTTAAATAGGGATACAGGTGGACCTATTGCAACAATGAGATGTACAAGTCCTTATGTCAAAAAACGAACTTTACAATTTTGGCCAGGGGGGAGAGGAAGGGGAGGCAGGAGATGGGAAGGGATGGGAGGGGGAAACAAAGGAGGAGGCAACAATGCTTGATAAGAAATATACTCATTGGGGCTGGGGAGGTGGCTCAGTGGTAGAGCGCTTGCCTTGCATGCATGAGACCCTGGGTTCGATTCCTCAGCACCACATAAGCAAAAAGAAAAAAGCTGGAAGTGGCGCTGTGGCACAAGTGGTAGAGTGCTAGCCTTGAGCTGAAGAGCTGAGGAACAGCGCCCAGGCCCAGAGTTCAGGCCCCACTACTGGAGCCCCCCCCCCCAAAAAAAAGAAAAAGAAAAAAAAAAGAAATGTACTCATTACCTTGCCCCTGTAATTGTAACCCCTCTGTACGGTATTTTCACAATAAAAAAAGTGAATTTTTTAAAAAGTTAAGTCCACTCTTAGAACATCGTTTGCAACTGGGAGTAATTTTGCCCTGTAGGAAATGCCTGGCAATAACTGGAAACTACCAGTGGAGCAACTGGTCAGAAATGCTATCCAACATTCTCAAGTGCACCCAACTTAAAAAGTCAGTTGTGTCATGATTGAGAAATTCTGCCTTAAAATGAGTGATAGCTACCTTCAGACAAAGACCAACTCCTGCTAGGGTATCTATTCAAAAGCCTGCTTATTATTCTGCATAAACCAATCTGGTTGATCACGCCTATAATCCTAGTTACTCAGAAGGCTGAGATCTACCTGAGTATTGAAGTTAATGCCAGCCTGGTCAGGAAAGTCTTTGAGATTCTTATCTCCAATTAGCCAACAAAAATCCCAAAATGGAGCTGTGGCATAAGTGGTAGAGTGCCAGCCTTGACCAGAAAAAGCTCAAGGACAACATCCAGGCCCTGAGTTCAAACCCTGGGAATGACATAAAATTAAAAAGAATCAAAACTAATAGAATACATAATAATGGCAGGTGACTTCTAGAATATAGAACAGGAAAATAATTAAGGCCTAATTTCTAGATGGTTCTATATGGCTTCTTGAATGATGTGAAAATTTGACATTTCTAACCAGTAATGGAACAAATGATATAAAGAAATAGTAAAGATAGAATTTAATTGAGAAATAACCATAGAAGTAAACCAATCACCCAGAAGGTACCTTTGTTCAGAAGAGGGAGGAAATCAGAAGCTTTCTCTTGAAAAACCCTTTGAGCATCCTCAGGCTTCATAGTCACTTCCTTTGTTTGAACTAGGGAAAAGCCTTTACCAACCATCTGTAGAAAATAAAATTTCATTGAGTTTTCAAAATGAGCAACAAAAGCAATAGGAAGACTCCTGCTAATCGCTTTTCTGTACAAAATTCAACATAGCACCCTGAGTTTTATTTAGCTCTGATTCTAATTCAGGTCATCGACTGTAACACATTCTCACAAACACAAGATTCTTCCAGCTGGGTGCTTCTGGTTAAGAAATAGTTCCATAAGGCTGTGCACTGGTGGCTCATGCCCATAATCCTAGCTACTTAGGAGGATGAGATCTGAAGATTGCAGTTCAAAGCCAGCCTACTCAAGAAAATCATGAGATTCTTCTTTTTTTGGGGGGGGGTCAGTCATGGGGCTTGGGCGCTGACCCTGCACTCTTCAGCTCAAGGTGAGCGTTCTATCACTTGAGCCACAGCACCAGCGTTTTCAAGTGGTTTATTGGAGACAAGAGTCTCACAGACTTTCCTGCCCGGGCTGGCTTTGAACCACAATCCTAAGATCTCAGCCTCCTGAGTAGCTAGGATTACAGGCATGAGCCACCGGCGCCTGGCTGCATGAGATTCTTATACCCAATTAAGTGCCAAACTACCAGAAGTGGAGATGTGGCTCAAGTAGTAGAGAACAAGCCTTCAGCATAAAAGCTCAGGGATAGGCCCAGGCCCTGAGTTCAAGCCCCAGAACGCTCCCCCTACCAGTGTTTACTGCTCAGCTTGAGCCAAATAGACCTGGGCATAGTGATACATATATGCCTACAGTCCTAGCATTCACAAATCTAAGACAGGAGGATCACAAGTTCCAGGCCTGCCTGGGCTACATAGGAAGACCTTGTCTCAAAAAGATCAAATAAATGTGAATTATTCCTTAATTTATCACATAACAAATGTTTTCAATGAAACAACCAGATGGAATCTTTATTTTGGTGATAATGTAAATATCTAATGAGACCAGTATGATTAAATAAATGATGGTACATTTACATGATGAAATACTAAGTTCATTATATTCATCACAGTTTATTAAAATAACAGATGTCACAGAGAATGGAAAATATTACATAATAATTGCATAATAATCTTGAGCCAGGCCTCTAGTCCCACATTTAGTTGGTTAATTGGAGATGAAGTCTGGGAGACTTTTCTGCTTGGCATGGCTTTGAATTCTGATCCTCTAGGTCTCAGCCTTTCTGAATAGCTAGGAATAGAAGCTTGAGCCACCCGTGCCAGGCTGATAATGTAAATCTTAAAAGGCACAATATAAGCTGGGCACCCATGGCTCATGCCTATCACCCTACTCAAGAGTTTGAGATCTGAGGGTCAAGGCTCAAAGCTAGCTTGGGCACAAAAGTCCATGAGACTCAACTCCAATTAACCAGCAAAAAAGATGGAAGAGAAGCTGTGGTTCAGATGGTAGAATGCTAGTGTTGAGCAAAAAGTGCTAAGGGACACTGACTGCTCAGGCCCTGAGTTCAAGTCCCAAAGCTGGCACCAATAAAGGGAAGAGCATAATACAAATTTGTATGGTACAGCACAGCAATGATAGGTCACATTCATGGAGCATTTACTATATATCATGTGTGGTAAATGTACCTTTCACACAAGATAGGTACTATTACTACTCTCATTGTACAGATAAAATGTTTAAGGCAGAGTGATCATTAAGTAACAGAGTTATGATTTCAACTCAGTCTGATTGCAGACTACAAAATTTAAATTTATTCTTATTTAGAATGGCAAACACATAAGGGAGTGTTTAGCATTCCTGGTCATAAAAGAATCATAAATCAAAACAACATTGAGATCTCATCTTACCCCAGTTAGATTGGCCAACATCAAGAATTTGAACAATAACAAATGTTGCCAGAGATGTGAGGAAAAACAAATGCTATTGTACTGAATATAAACTAGTACAACCACTCTAAATTTTGGTTTGGAGTTGCCTCAAAAAACTTAACATACAACTTCCCTACGATCCAGCCTTATCACTCTTGGGCCTCTACCCAGAACATCACAAGCCAAGATACAGTAAAGACACTTGCACTACCATATTCATTGCTGCACTATTCACAATAGCCAAGTTATGGAAAGAGCCCCGATGCCCTACAATAGATGAGTGGATCAAAAAATTTACTCATCTATTAGAAAGAATAATATTTGTCATTTGCAGGGAAATGGGTAGATCTAGAACAAATCATGGTAAGTGAGGTAAACCAAGCTCAGCGGATAAACAGTGCATGGTTTCTTTCATATGTGGAAGCTAGATCTAAAACACACCTAGTCATGACAATTTTTTTTGTTTTTTTTTTTGTTTTTTTTTTGTTTTTTGTCGTGGGGCTTGAACTCTGGGCTTGGGCGCTGTCCTTGTGCTCTTCAGCTCAAGGCGAGCGCTCTACCGCTTGAGCCACAGAACCACTTCCGGTGTTCTAGCAGTTTATTGGAGATAAGAGTCTCACGAACTTTCCTGCCTGAGCTGTTTTTGAACCGCAATCCTCAGATCTCAGCCTCCTGAGTAGCTAGGATTACAGGCGTGAGCCACTGGCGCCGGGCTTAGTCATGACAATTTATACAGAGCCATATGCAATTACAGACTAAAGAAAGATATACTTAGGGGAGGAACTCAAAGGCATAACTCACCCGGACTTCTAAAATATTACTTACCAAAACAAATTCCAGGAAATGGAAACATGGTGTTTTTTGTTATTGATGTTGTTGTTGTTTGTTTTTGTTAATCTTTTTAGAGTGGAGGGAGGAAGGAGGAACAAATGCAGTCATGATATTCAATATACACTATGTCAAAAAATAAACTATGTAACTTATAGGCTGGGACAAGAGGAGAAAATAGGGAAAAGCTCATTATTTTCTATTCACATACACAAAATGACAAAATTATGGTTGCTTCACAATACCTAAAATAAATCACAAACTATGACACAATATCTACTTCAATATTTTGCCCTATGTATTTAAAGAGTCCTTTTCATGAAAATGTTCCTCCTTTTAAAGAACCAGGTAATTAATGAGCTTCATTTATGAAATATACTCAAATAATTCAAGCTACTTTTACTCTATTCTGAATACATCTGTGCTAAATATAAGAGCAAATAAGAAAACTGACTTTGGTGTGAGAAAACCAAATGTCTAGTTAGTAAGTTCTCTTGACTCGCTATGAAATCCACTTTTTGCTTTAACCAGTATTTCTAGAGTTTCTACCCTCTCAAGTTTTATACTTTCTACTAAAAAATATGATATGATAATTTACATAAAAAGTGAAATGAACCCAGGTGCCAATGGCTCAAACCTGAAATCTGCTACTCAAGAGTCTAAAATCTGAAGATCATGGTTCAAAGCCAGCCCAAGCAGAAAAGCCCATGTGACTCTTATCTCCAATTTACCAGCATAAAGCCAGAGATGTAATTCAAGTGGTAGAGTTCCAACCTTGAATGAAAGAAACAATCAAAACAAGAGTATAAGGCCCTGAGTTCAAGCCCTAAAAACAGCACCAATAAAAGAAGTGAAATGGGATTTAACCAAACCAGAATTTGCAATCACATTTGGCCTGAAAACTGTCCTAAACTTAACATTATGATGGTATGAGAAACTCAAATTTATTTTTTTCAATCTGCAAATTAGCTAGTTTCTGTACATATTTCACTGGAAACTAACACTTCATTTCAAATAATATGTAATCTCTTTTAGATATGTCTTTTTATCTTTCCATATGTTTTGATACTTGCACATTTGCCTAACATTTGCCTCTCTAGTTTTTTTTTACACCTTAATTGTGTGCTTGCAGAATTAGACTACCTTTAGCCAGAGTCCCTGGGCTGGAAAGCCCTGACTCTGTGTATTTTACAGAACATTTCCTCTCCACCAGGCTTCTCTGGCTATTCCTTCATTATCAAGACAGCATGAGGGCCCCATGTTCAAGGTCAAGACGGGAGGACACAGAAGACCTGCCTGGGTATGAGTCTGCACTCTGCTGTTTACAAGCCTACTAACACTTTATGAGCTAATTACTCTCTGTGTTATTTTTTTCTCTGCAAATGGCACATAGATCATGGGGTTGTTTTCAACATTTAAATTCTTATAACAGTGACTGACATATAGTAGACACTATTGTGTTTACTGTTACTATTATTGCTGTGGGGTGTTTATTTTAACATATTACATGTCAAAGGTCAAATGAAGAATGTCTGATGGCCCATAAAGGGAAACTGACTTCATGCTTTTTTCCCATTAACCATGTTAAATATTTTTATGTCCATTCTTAATTATCTACCAGAAAAGAGTTTAATCTCCTGAAATCTTTTTGAAAATATGTAGATTTAAAAAGAAAAACTCCCAGCTGGGTGCTAGTGGCTCACGCCTTAATCCCAGCTACACATGAGGCTGAGATCTGAGGATTGCAGATCAAGATCGCAGTTCAGCCCTGGCAGGAAAGTCCATGAGACTCTATCTCCAATTAACCACCAGAAAACCAGAAGTGACACTGTGGCTTAACTACTAGAGCGCTCATCTTTAGCTGAAGAGCTCAGGGACAGTGCCCAAGCCCAGAGTTCATGCCCCATGACTGACAAAAAAAAAAAGCTCCCTACCCTGTATAATGAAAATATTTATCTCTCAGCTATTGAACTATCATCTCATTACATAGTGCAAGGGCCAGAAATTCATTTTTGTATATTTTGCCAGAGTTTTCATGGCAAGGTATTATGAGAGTGGCATAATCACAAAAGAAAATACCCAAAGTCTTTAACTTTTGTTTTGTAGATGTCAGATGTGGAGATTTCTCTATGGTAGATGCATAGCTATAAAAATGTAGCCATTTTTAGTTTTTTCCTCAAATCTTTAAGATGTCCCAACTGTGTGTGTGTGTGTGTGTGTGTGTGTGTGTGTGTGTGTGTGTGTGTGTGTGTGTGTGTGCCAGTTCTATGGTTGGAACTCTTTGCCTGGGCACTGTCTTTGGGCTTTTTTGCTCAAGTCTAGCACTCTATCACTTGAGCCACAGCTCTTCTTCTGGCTTTTTGCTATTAAATAAAGACAAGAGTTTCATGGATTCTTCTGCTTGAGCTGGCTTTGAACCACAATCCTTAGATCTCATCCTCCTGAGTAGCTAGGATTACAGGTGTGAGTCACTGGCACCTGGCCCAACTTTTTTAAAGTCCCTTCAAGCCAGGTAAGGTGGCTCATACCTATAATCCAAGCTACTTGAGGGGCAGAGATCAGGACATTTGAGTTTCAAGGCCATCCAGGGCAAGAAGTTAGCAGAACTTCCACTTCAACCAATGGTGGTATGTACTTGTCATCCTAGCTATGAAGGACATACAAATAGGAGGCTCTTAGCCCAGGCCAGCCACAGCAAAAAATATGATCTTAGCCAAAAAATAAGTAAAAATGGATGAGGAGTGTGGTTTAAGGGGTATAGCACCTATTTAACAAGTGTTTAACCCCCAGTACTGCAAAAACAGATAAACTGATAAACTAACAAAATAAAAATTAAATCCCATGAAAAGAAACTCGATACGTTTTCCATTTACTACTTCTGGGAGCTTGATTTTAACTTTAAAAATATTTTTTTCTGAAGAAATCCTGGTTAATAAGTAGCCAAGATGTCCTACTGCAGACTCTTACCAAAACACCCACCTATAAAGGAACTGATGCTCGTGGAGCCAGGATGGATAATTTTTCAGGCAGAAGTTGCTACCCAGAGAACTGGTGCTCCCTAAGAGCTGTTACTCATAGTCACATAACTTTTACCATCTTGACTAACTCATTCTTTTGTTGCAACCTCTGGTCCATAGTAACATGAAAATAGAAAGTAAATTGCCTAGTGGGGACAATGCTCACACAGCCATAACTTCTTCAAAAGCTGTATCTTGCATTTAGTTCCTATCCTTTAAGTAGTTAAAATGCCAAAGACATTTTTCTGGTAAATTATTATAAAAAGCTGTGCTTTACTATCTAGTGATGTTGATGTGAGCTCCTCTGAAAATACTACCTTATAGAGAATGAAAAGTCTTAAAGGGAAGAGAATTTTGTCTATGTGTCTCCATTTCTAGCAATATGTTTTTCATTATTGCCAAGATGCAATTGATTATAAGCTATCTGCAAGGTAAACAAAGGTGGGCAGTGCTTGCTCAGGCCTGTAATCTTAGCTACTCAGCAGGCTGAGGTCTGATGATCCTGATTTAAAGCCAGCTGGGGCAAGCAACTCTATTAGACCTTTATCTCCACTTATCCAGCAAAAAGCTGAAAATAGGTCAGTGACTCAAGTGGTAGAATGCCAGCCTTGAGTAGAAAAAGCTAAGGGACACCATCTAGGAAAAGTGTTCAAGTCCCAGGACTAGCATGCGCGCGCACACACACACACACACACACACACACACACGCACATGCGTGCACACACACACACACACACACACACACAAATATGTGGGAAACAAATAGGCATCATCATCGAAATATATTAAGAATAACTTGCACATAGCTGCTAGTTAATAAATGCTTACTGAATGGAATTCTATGTTTCAAAGGCTTCTTTGGTTAAGTATTTTAAAGCCCAAGCATCCTGCTTCCAGATAAGTCTTGTGGGTGAGGAGACAGAGAGTTACCAATATTTCTAACAGGCAATTTGCAAAGAATAAGTGCTTTCTAGACTGTCATGTTTCTAGTCAGCTCCATGTCTGTTTATCTCCTCTCTCTCCTTACCTCATCAATTAATTTCCTGGCATTTGCAATAGTATAATCCCCCGCAAATAACACCACCAAACATGATTCGTCACTGTTCTTCTGTCTCTGACCCCGGGATATTGGAACGATGCTTCTATTGGCTTCTGTGGAAACTCGAACAGCTTTGAACTCTTCCGTTGTAGGGACAGGAACAAAGTCCTGGATCTTGGCATTTTCTGGAAGAAGGCTCCAGTTGAGCTCTCCTGCCACAGGGGTAAAGTCATGAATGTTACTCCATGTGTTATTGAAGATACTCAGCCCTGCATCTTTAAACTGGAAAGCTAATTCAGGGTAATACCACTGAAAACAGCCAAACTTGATGTTTGTGGAAGACTCGATGATAGGTTGAGTAGCACAGCACAGAAAGACTTCCAGCTTTCTGCAGTCTCGCACACGAAATTGTTGGCAGGCTAACAGGCACTTACAATCTCTGCAATTCCGGAAAAACACACTGGTTTTCACTGGCCCCAGAAAAATGACACAGCTAGTACAGTCATCAATGGTAACTGTAGCACTGTGATCAAAAATATAGATTTTACAGTTCTCACAGTCTTGAATGATAAATTGTTGTCCTGCCACCTTTCCAGGTAAACGACCTACTGTTTCATTCTTCAGCCCACTGAACATGTAGTCTTTCAGGTCAACCTGCAAGGAAAAAACACAGACTTTGAGTATTATTAACATTAATCAGTGAAGTTCAACAATGCATCTGTAGGTGCTAGGAACAGTTCTCAAGGCTAAAATGGAAGTTCTTAATCTTATTGACTTTGTAACATAATAAGAAAATAACCAGGAGGTTTTGTTTTTCTCCCAATAAACAGAAGTCACAAAGGAGGAGGGGAAAGAAAAAGGGAACTATTCAAAATTCAAGGACATATCCACCACAAAGTTTGTCTAAATTATGTTTCAAAAATGCCTATCTATAAACAAATTTTTCCCCTCACTGCTGGTGGCTTGCACTACCAGCTACTCAGGAGGCTGACACTTGATAATTTAGAGCCATTCTAGTAAAGAAAGTCCAAGAGACTTCATCTTTAATTAACCAGCAAAAAGCCTGTGCTGGAAGCGTGGCTTGAGTGTCCAGTTCCTCTGGCAACTATAGCTCTCATTATAGTAGAAAACTGAGGTTGTGGAAATACCTATGCAGTTCACAAGAGACCCCACTCTAGACAAGTACCATCTTCATAACAGTCACAGCCTTGGTCAACTCTGGTATAGTAATAGTATTGTATAGTTTCTTTCCTGGGTGTGGCTCTAGGAATGGTGTCTCCACCAGACTGGCCCTGGTCTCATTGGATATTGGTGAGCCTGGGATACCATATCCTCTACATCTCCTTCTATCTCTTCTTGTGCTTTCTACAAGGGAGTTTCCTACAATGTCTGTGAATTCTTTCCTGGACTATAGTTTTTTGCTTGCTTCCCTTAAACACTTATGTAGTACAACATGAAGGATCCTCCCCAGAATCTTTACAGGACCACATGCATTACAATATCTGGCTGTGCCTAGCTCAAATTACTAACAGCTCTAACTTTTGTCTAAAACAGGAATCAAAATTAGGACATGTGCTTGGGTCTTGCTTACTCCCAGTATGCAAACCCAAATTAGATACACAAAATTTAACTCTTTTCTCCTCTAGCCAAATTAATAAACCCTTACTTATGCTGATTCTTATAGCTGGGGAACACCATCATATATAAAGGCCCCAGAGGCAATGATGTTATATTACCCCCCCATTATAATCCCAGAAAACACCATCTGTGGTCAAATTGAAAATTGTACTTACAAATGTAAGCAAATAAAAAGGGGTGATTTAACTTGTGCTAATTATGAACCCATTTGATACATAAGCCACATTTCCCTGCCAACTGGCTGGTTCTTCACTTGTAAAAGATCTTTACTTACATCCAGTGTCAGTCTGTCCCATAATTCTCATTGCTGTTTAAGTCATTTGGCCATTGTACTACCCCAGAGGGAAATTTTTGAGCCTCACCAGACCCAAGAGGCATTGGAGGAATCCTGCATTTATGAGCTACACTTGTTATCTGAAGCAGAATATTATGCCCTCACTTTTTCTCTGGTGGGGATACTGGGATTGGTAGTCAGAGCCTATAAAGGTGTCATGTGCCTGGCATGTATAAAAAAATCTATTAACTACACCTCTTCTGCCATTGCACTGTACCAATAATAGCATAGACAAGCCATTCTGGACAACTGTGATGCCATCAATTATTTACTCTTACTACACCAGTAGAGGTGTGAGGAGATAAAGGACAGTGCTGTTTTAATCTGACAGATAACAGCTATACCATCCTAGAGGAAATCAAACATCTTAGAAAGCTTGCAAAAAAGATTCAACAGGGGCTGGGAAGGTGGCTCAGTGGTAGAGTGCTTGCCTTGCATGCATGAGGCCCTGGGTTTGATTCCTCAGCACCACATAAGCAGAAAAAGCCAGACGTGGCACTGTGGCTCAAGTGGTAGAGCGCTAGCCTTGAGGTGAAGAGCTGAGGGACAACGCCCAGGCCCAGTGTTCAGGCCCCATGACCAACAACAACAACAAAAATGATCCAATAGGATAAGGGAGGATGGAACCTATTTAGATGGATTATTCCCTGGTTTATGTCTCTCTTGGGCCTGCTAACAGCAATTTTTTGCCTTTTACTAATTGTGCCTTGCCTACTAGGTACCTGCTAAACATTCTTATGGGAAAGATGAGGATCTTCACCAATCAGACTGTCAACCAAATGTTCCTAAGAGGGTATCCTAGGAACAAATCAGGGACTCCCACTTCACCCCTTTACAGCGGGAAGTAGCTCCAGAAGAAACGACCTCTGCCCATACTCCCGGCCCAGAACCTTTACCTATTAAACAACAAAGGTGGGGAGGGTAATGTTAGTATGTTCTCCTCCATTTTGGGCTTGACAGTCTCCATCCTAGGCCTTCAGCACCTATACCTAGCCCCCAGCTGCATCAGTGGAAGGACCCCTGCCCAGACATGAACTCCACCCTACCCTTCACAAAGAAAAGAGAATGCTTGCTCCCAGGGGCACTTGCACTCTACCCAGACCAGAATTCTGCCCTGCTTATGAACTATTTTCAGTGTCCACTAGCAGCAGGCAGAGTACTTCCCGCCCCTAGTCCCCTGTATAAAAATGTCCCTGAACAAAGACAGGTACCATTTCTCCCTCTCTCCCATGAGAGAACTGGTCTTGTCAGCCTAGCTGGCAATAAATTCTCTTTGCTCAACGTTACTATGTCCATATGGTCTTCTGGGCTGGTTACTTTTGTTTCAAGTCTCTCTGTCTCTCTTTCTCTCTCTCTCTGTTATTGAACTATATTTATGGGCATACACAGCTAAAGGATAGTCTGCATGGCACTATGGTTTGAATTTTACCATGGCTAACCCAGGAGATAACAACATAATCATTGCCATAATCAATGGCTTTTGGCCTATTTAGAATCTACACAATCAAAACATTTATATGCATAGATCAAGTAAGTGTGTGTTTGTGTGAGAGAGGTGGGGAGGGAGAGGGAAAGGAAGAGGGAGAGAGGGAGAGAAAGAGAGGAGAGAGAGAAAGAGAGAGAGAGAGCAAGCACTGGTACTAGGACTTGAATTCAGGACTTCGTACTTTCTTGACCTTTTCAATCTTAAGTGGCAGTCTACTATTTGAGCCACAGCTGCAGTTCTGGCATTTTGCTGCTTAATGGGAGTTAAGAATCTCTCTGATTTAACTACTTTGTCAGGCTTTGAACCTTGATCTTCATCCTTCTGAGTACTTAGGATTACAGGTATGAGCCACCAGCACCCAACTAAAACCTATTTTTTTGTTTTCCCCCTACTATCCCTTCCCTCCCTACTAAAACCTATTTTGTTTTTGGGTCCGGTCATGGGGTCTGAACTCTGGACCTGGGTGCTGTCCCTCAGCTCTTCAGCTCAAGGCTAGCACTCTACCACTTCTGGCTTTTTTTTCTTATTTGGTGCTGAGGAATCGAACCCAGGGACTCAGGCATGCAAGGCAAGTGCTCTACCACTGAGCCACCTTCCCAGCCCCACTAAAACCTATTTTTAAAAACAATTATCCTAGCAAGTGTCTATCAAATCCTATATATCAATCCTAATCTAAGAATATACTATCACAAGCAAGGGGTAGTTCAGTGGTACAGTATTTGCACAGCATATACAAAATGTACTATTCCAGTTTTCTAATGTGTATGTTTTCTCTGATATACATTCTATTTTTAATTTTGAGGGTTTGAGCTAAGGACCTTATGCTTGCTAGGCAGGCACTCGACTATTTGACTCATATACTTAGCCCTTCTTGTTTTAGTTTTTTTGTGTGATAGGGTCTCATGTTTTTGCTTGGGCTTGCCCTGAACCTTGATCCTCCTACCTAGCTTGGCCCTAGAAGAATCATGGTCAGAGGCTCTTACAGGCAAAAGTATGAGATGCTATCTGAATAAAAACAAAAGCAATAAAAGAAAGTCCTGGAGGCATGGCTCAAATGCTATAGTTCTTGCCTACTGAGGCAAGGGCCCTGAGTTTAATTACCAGTAATGCAAAAAATTCTAACCTGACCTATGAGCATTGTGAATTTAAATGTGCGTGTACGTGTGTGTGAGAGAGAGAAGTTCCACAAAGCAAAAAAAAAATACATATAGTTTGTGCTATGCTCCCTAATATTTTCTATCATCTCTACCCAACTCACAGGTTTGATAAGACATAGTTTTGGCTTATGTGATTGGATATTGGGGGTGCCATGAACAAAAATGACAAATATAGGGGACAAAACAGTCCCACGTAGAAAGAGGTGTTTGAGAAGTGTCATATCTAAGACTTTATGGGTGACCTACAAATACAGAGGAATGGTTTTCCTGTTTGGTCTCCACTAAGAACAGTGAGCTAGCATAATTGCTAGTTCCACTGTCTGAGATCAAGCCTAAGAGAACCAAATAAGAAAAACACCAAGTCTGTACCTTGTGTCTTATATAAGTTTATTGTACCTGTGGAAGGGAAAGGGAATCACAGAAACAGTAGAAGGAAGGATGAATGAATGCAATATTGATACTCATTTGATACTATGTTGGAAATGAACTTAAAACTGAGGCAGGAGGGGAGAAGGGAGGGGTAAGTGGGAGAAAATGAGGGATAGGGTAAGAGTGTTTAAAAACAAATTTACTCATTACCTAACTTATATAACTGTAACCCCCTGCTCATCCCCTTTTCAATAAAGACTTTGTTAAAAAGAAGGAAACAACAACAATAAAAGAAAAACACAGGCTGGAGAGACAGGCTGGAATCTACTATAAGTATGTGGGGAACTGTAGCAACAAAACCCTGTTCTATATAACTATATAGTGTAGCCTAATTTTGAAATGCTTTTAAAAAAAAAAGAAAAAACAACAACAACAAAAAGTAGTTCATTATGAGCAACCACTGTGGTAACGTGGAAGAGGATAAAACATAAAAGAAAAGCCCTAGGATTTTTGTTCTTCCCCCTCCTTCAAATCTGAAAACAGTGTGTCTTCCACACCTTCTGTGCTTTGGACCTCTGGTCCAGGACAGGGTAGAAATGTGCTGATGGAAAGCTAAACAGTTACAGATTAAGCAGGACAATTGCTTCTCCTCCTTGATCACTCTAAGCAC